ACCCACACACCCACACACCCACACACGCACACACAAAAAAAAAAAAAAACCTAAGCCCTAAACCCTAAACCCTGAACCCTAAACCCTCAACCCTAAACCCTAAGCACCAAGGAACAACGTCACCCTGAATCCACACTTGGCCCACGCGGAGGATTGGGTTTTGTCTTCATCTATGATGATGGCGAGTACGCATGTATGGGGGCTTAGGGTTTAGGGTTTAGGTTTGGGGGGTTCGCGAAATTAGGAGTACCTTCTTGGGGTCCTTATTAGAAGGGAGGGGTTTACGATATTCGGGGTACCTTCTTGGGGTCCTGATTGCAAGGGGGGGTTTGTATTTAGGGTCCCTTATTGTCGTACCCCCCATTTCTAAATAGACTATGGGGTGTCCATTTTGGAATACACGAACACTGCCACCTCTAAAGGAGGAGTTCGAACTTATGGAAGCAGCATTCGAAATTATAGAAGCATTGAACATCATAGTAGCAACCAGTGACAAGCAGTCAGTCGCCACACCCCTAAACCCTAAAACCTGAAAGCCGAAACCCTCAACCCTAAACCCTAAACCCTAAACCCTAAACCCTAAACCCTAAATCCTAAACCCCAAACCCTAAACCCTCAGGTCATGAAGGCCGCGACCGCCGAGGAGGTGCTGGAGGCGATCCAGCAGGTCGTTGGCCCGGACTTCGTCTTGTTGAGCACGACCTTCTTTGCCAAGCATCTTCGGCTAAAGCCCTAAACCCTAAACCCTAAACCCTAAACCCTAAACCCTAAACCCTAAACCCTAAACCCTAAACCCTCACAAGGTATCCCTTGCAGACCGAGGGCGCGAACCAGCCCAAGTGCCTCACAGTCATCGGAGCCTGGGCAGCTTTAGGGTTTTAGGGTTTAGGGTTTAGGGTTTAGGGTTTAGGGCTTTGGGGTTTAGGGTTTAGGGCTTTGGGGTTTAGGGTTTGAGGGTTTAGGGCTTGGGGTTTAGGGTTTGAGGGTTTTAGGGTTTTAGGGTCTTAGGCTTTGGGGTTTAGGGTTTAGGTAGGCTTTCGAGACATCTTGGACCTTTTCCCTCCTTGGTTTTAGGAGGATCATGCCGACCGACAACTACATCAACCAACCAAAACAGAGCTCACCCCCCACCCTAAGCCCTGAACCCTAAATCCTAAACCCTAAACCCTAAACCCTAAACCCTAAACCCTGAGCCCTAAACCCTAAACCCCTAAACCCCTAAACCCTAAACCCCTAAGCCCTAAACCCTAAACCCCAGGAACTCACCAAGACCGGCAGTATTGGGGCTTGGAGCCGGCTTCGGCGCCGGTGGCGAGCGTTTGGATCGCGATTGACAACGCCACGAGGGAGAGACTTGGGCTGATTCGGGTTTAGGGTTTAGGGTTTAGGGTTTAGGGTTTAGGGTTTAGGGTTTAGGGTTTAGGGTTTAGGGTTTAGGGTTTGGGGTTGATAAGCTGGCAGCTGTGAATAGCTTTGCTCATTGTTGCTCGCAATTTTGCCCTCGAAATGTAAATGGTTAAAGGGCTTAAAGCGTTTAAAGGGTTTACAGTAGGGTTTCGGGTTGAAGGGTTTAAGGGCTTCATGGCTGAGGGTCTTGTAGGGTTCAAGGGTTGAGCTTTAGTTCGTGCCTTTCAAGCTTAACATGGCTATGTTGAGCCATGCAAGTCTTTTCCCCACCCCTCCCTCAGGAATGGCGCCATGCAGATGTACCCCACCACCCACAAGACTCCGCTGCCTCACGTGAAGCACTATGACACTTAGTAGCTGAGTGAGCACCGCTTTACACTTTTTGGGATACTATAATCCCCTATAGAGCTGAAAGTGTACACTTTTTGGGGGCTTAAACCCTAAACCCTAAACCCGAAACCCTAAACCCGAAACCCTAACCCTAAACCCTAAACCCTAAACCCTAAACCCTAAACCCTAAACCCTAAACCCTAAACCCTAAACCCTAAGGACAACTGCTCGGCGCTCTTCGACGCCCAGAGCATCCCTCCGGAAGATCTGCCCGCGGAGTCGGAGTTTCTCGAGCTCGTTCCCGGCCAGCACCCCGCCGACCTTTTCAAGGAACCTTTTTTTGCGAATACAGTTGTTTTTAGGGTATGTATGTATGTATGTATGTATGTATGTATGTATGTATGTATGTATGTATGTATGTACTGTAGGTATGTATGTATGGATGTATGTATGTAGAAAAAAGATATATACATGTTTTATTGGAAGGGGGAATCTCTATTTGCTGCCCGTAGCCTTGTGCACTCGAGCGGCGAGATTGCCTCCGTCGAATCTTGAGGTACGCCATCTTCGATAGCCGCACGGCCCATCGGTCGGGCCGCAACTCAAGTCCGAGTCGGCGAATAGGTCTTACGATGATCTATGCTTCGGCCGACATTGTCCTCAAGGAGATGGGTTTAGGGTTTAGGGTTTAGGGTTTAGGGTTTAGGGTTTAGGGTGGATTGACATTGTTCTCAAGGAGATGGATTATCAGAACTACGTGGAATGGCGGGTGCCCATGCCGATCAGATGTGCCGGAAAGTCTTGCGAAGAGCCATCGGGTGCTGAGCTGTGAGTCTCAGAGTGGTCTCTGGGGCAAGCACCTATAATTAAGCGACTTCAGCCCAGACAGAAGTGTGCACAGGCACACAAATACCCCCCCCCCCCCACCCTCCACGTACCGGCACCTTTTCTTCAAAGCTAGTCGTGAGTCATGAGAACAGGGTTAATTCGGGCCTCACGGCAGTCGCGAAACACATTTTCAGTCTCTGTGAACAGCAAGGCTCCAAGCTTGCAGACTCTTTAACTGGAGGTGGACTCATGAGTGTGCTTGGAGAATGAGATCTAGAAGGGGTTAGAGCAAATCAGACCTTGAGTAAGAGACGAGTAGTGAGGGTTGTACGTAGGTTCTCCGTTGAATGAGATGTGAACGTGAGAACAGTCCTAGCTATTTGAAGAGTCAGGTTCTGCTACAGCCACGGTTTAGGGTTTAGGGTTTAGGGTTCAGGGTTTAGGGACCTGTTTTGAGTGCTCGTCGGTTGCCTGTTCTGGCCAGTGACTTCCACCGAACAAGCGCGCATTCGGCGCATGAGGTGCGGGTACATGGGGGCTAGCCAATTTATTTCAACGGCGCATGAAGGGCCAACTTTTGTGGGAGCGAATCCCAATGTTTGTGCTGCGCTCCACGCAGCCGTGCCCACGCAGGAGGAGGTGGCGCTGCTTGTTTCGCTGCGCGCCGCTTCGCGTACCGTCCGCAGCAGCGCAACTGGCGAAATACCCCCAAAGAGTCCACGTTGCACTGCTGCCAGAAGGTGTCGGAAGGAAAAAGGGGGCAAGCTTCTTCAGCCACCAGGCCTAAACCCTAAACCCAAAACCCAAAACCCTAAACCCTAAACCCTAAACCCTAAACCCTAAACCCTAAACCTTAACCCCAATGCTATCCGCTGCTATCCCGTAAATCTCCAAGCCTGGCCCTACCCAAAAGCCCAAGACTCCAAGTCCTGCCCGGAACCAAACCAGTGAAACCCTAAACCCTCAACCTTAAACCCTGAACCCTAAACCTAAACCCTAAACCCTAAACCCTATACCCTAAACCGTAAACCCTAAACTCTAAACCCTAAACCCCAAACCCTAAACCCTAAGCCCTGAACCGTTTTCCCTAGACCCTGAACCCTAAACATGTAGACTTCCAACCCTGAGACTTCCAACCCTGAGCTTCTTACGGCCAAGCCAAAAACCCCCAAATCCCCAACCCAACGCCCCAACCCACCCGAACCCCAAATCCGAGACCAACCCTCAACAAGAGCCCACCTTTGGGCCCTAAACCCTAAACCCGGAAGGTTTAGGGTTCAGGGATATCTGGGGTGTAGGGTTGAGGGTTTAGGGTTTGGGGCCCTAAACCCTAAACCCTACACCCTAAACCCTAAACCCTAAACCGAAAAGCCTGAATTCTCGTGCAGAGGCCGGTGTCATCGTCCAGGGCATCAAGGACTCACAGTTGCAGCCGGCCCCCTTCCACGACAAAGCCTAAGGCTTCAAGGCTGTAGGGTTTAGGGTTTAGGGTTTTTGGACCTAAACCCCCGAGCCCTTTTAAGGGCTTTAGGGTTTAGGGCTTTAGGCACCGAGGGCTAGAATGGATTAACGTCCCACTCAACCCTAAACCCTAAACCCTAAACCTTAAACCCTAAACCCTAAACCCTAAACCCCAAACCCTAAACCCTAAACCCTAAACTCTAAACCCTAGACCCTAAACCCAAAACCCAAAACCCTAGGACTCAACCTCTAGGTCCGGAGCCTTCATCCCTAAACCTCCCTAGACCTAAACCCTAAATCCTCTACCCCTAAACCCTAAACCCTAAACCCTAAACCCTATACCCTAAACCCTAAACCCTAAACCCTAAATCCTCTACCCTTAAACCCTAAACCCTAAACCCTAAACCCTCGCTGGCCGCCTTCGAATGCCTTTTGTCCTGCTTTGCTGGCCGGGGCGTCCTGTAGCTGCACTGGCTCGAAGGTGCTGGAATTTTTAGTAGCGGAATTTAGCCTTCAGTCCTCTGAGCTTGTAGGTCACTGTGTTTAGGTTTCAGGGTTGGGGAAGTGTTCAGCGATGTTTCCCCCACCCGTGCCCACAGATATCCTAAACTCTAAACCCTAACCCTAAACCCTAAACCCTAAACCCTAAACCCTAAAATTCTAAGAGTCACAAGTCTAGGCAGCGCTCGATGCATGCCCTGCCATCGCTTTTAGCCTCCTCAACAGTCCAGGCAGCTGAGGGCTCACCCTAAACCCTGACTCTAAACCCCTAAACCCCTAAACCCCTAAACCCCTAAACCCCTAAACCCCTAAACCCCTAAACCCCTAAACCCCTAAACCCCTAAACCCCTAAACCCCTAAACCCTAAACCCCAAACCCCAAACCCGAAACCCTAAACCTTAAACCCTAAACCCTAAACCCTAAGCCCTAAGCCCTGTAACCCTAAACCCTAAACCCTAACTGGCGAAGCTGGGGTTCTTCCTCGTAGGGCCGTCGTGCTGGGTGGACTTTTCATCTAAGGGTCGTTTCATGGTCCCTTTAATATGGTTCCCTTACCTTCTTTAAAGGGTTTAGGGTTTCGGGTTTAGGGTTTAGGGTAGTTACATGGTCTCTCAATGTGGTCCTTACCTCCTTGAAAGGGTTCTAGTTTGGCGCCCTTGGGTTGTACAGGGGAGAAAAGAGGTATATAAGGGGTCCCCTTTGAAGGGCCCAGATTCAGGGACCATGTAACTACAGTACCCCTAAAACCCTAAACCCCAAAGCCTAAACCCTAAACCCTAAACCCTAAACCCTAAGCCCTAAACCCGAAATCCTGAACTAAACCCTAAACCAGTCAAAAAGGTGCACTGCAAGGTGCGGCCGGGTGTTTATCAGGGTCTGCACCGTGATTCGCAACGCGAATGGGCGAAATCGAAGCCCTGGTCGTCTGGCGTCTGCAAGCCTTAACTGGCTGGTCCTTTGGAGGGAATGAGTTTCTCTACACAACCCCTTAAGGGATATGTATAGGGCCGTTCCCTAAGAACCAGATGGTTAAGGTGTGAAGGATCTTTGGGTTGTGGGCTTATTCCCCACCCTCGGTGTGGGGTTGTTAGCTTTTAAACTCACCTCTTCTCCTCGCCCGGACCTCTTCTCCTCGCCTTGTCTACTCCTCGCTCATCCCTCGAGTGCCCAACTCTAGAGTGTGTTTCTGGAGTGCCCAACCCCAGAATGTCCGCGGAGTGCCCAGCCCCAGAGTCTCCCTGGAGTGCCCAACCCCAGAGTGCCCAACCCCAGATTGTCCCCAGAGCGCCCAGCCCCAGAGTGTCCCTGGAGTGCCCAACCGCAAAGTCTCCCCGGAGTGCCCAACCCAGAGTGCCCAGCCCCAGCCCCAGAGTCTCGGAGTGCCCAATTGCAGAGTCTCCCTGGAAAATGCCCAGCCCCAGAGTGTCCCTGGAGTGCCCAACCCCAGAATGTCCGCGGTATCTCTACCAAGAGAGGGTGGGAATGTTCGAAGTAAAATATTGTTAAAGTCAAGCTCTCACCTTTGACAAGGAGACTCCGCCATGTTTTTCGCAACATATTCTTTGAGCCTAGAGACTCTCATGGACAGACAGTTTAGGGTTTAGGGTCTAGAAACCCAAAACCCAAAACCCAAAACCCAAAACCCTAAGCCCTAAGCCCTAAACCCTAAACCCTAAACCCTAAACCCTAAACCCTAAATCCTAAATCCTAAACCCTAATCCCTAAACCCTAAACCCTAAAGCGTTCGACTCGTGGCCCTTGGCAGGGCCATGGCAGAGCTGGACCCCCATGACTTTCTGGGTGGGGTGCTCAGTCAGGGTTTAGGGTTTAGGGTTTAGGGTTTAGGGTTTAGGGTTTAGGGTTTAGGGTTTAGGGTTTAGGGTTTAGGGTTTAGGGTTCAGGGTTCAGGGTTTAGGGGTTAGGGTCCCTAACCTCCCCCGAAACCCCGAAGCCCCTAAACCTCAAGCCCCCAAACCCTCAAAACCCTGAAGCCCCAAACCCTAAACATCCCGAGTGATGGTATTCTTGGGCATAGGCCCGCTTTTTCGTGGGCATAGGCCCGGCTTCGTGGCATAGGCCCCGGGGCTTCGTGGGCATGGGTCGGGGGCTTCGTGGGCATAGGCCCGGCCTTGAGCCCCTAAACCCTTGAGAGCCTAAACCCTTGAGAGCCTAAACCCTTGAGACCCCAACCCCTTGAGACCCTAAACCCTTGCGAATCATATTAGTTTCGTTGTTGATCATAAGAAGAAACTTTGTATTAGCTATGGGAACTTCGGGTGGGTGGGTGGGTGGGTGGGTGGGCGGGTGGGTGGGTGGATGTTCTAATCGACGAGCCTAAACGAGAAACTGCTCGAGCAGGAGCTCTTGAACCCTAAGCCCTAAGCCCTAAACCCTAAACCCTAAACCCTAAACCCTAAACCCTAAACCCTAAACCCGAAACCCGAAACCCTAAACCCTAAACCCTAAACCCTTCTTTTCGGCCCAGGGTGCTCAGCAATAGGAAGCCTGAAGCCTGGAAGCTTAGGCTCTCGCGCCGACCAGTCAGCCGAGGACGCGGGCCCCAGGAAGCAGGGTTTAGGGTTTCGGGTTTTGGGTTTTGGGTTTAGGGTTTCGGGTTTAGGGTTTCGGCTTTAAGGTTCAAGGTTTAGGGTTTAGGGTTTAGGGTTTAGGGTTTTAGGATGTAGGGTTTAGGGTTTTTGGATTTTGAGATCGAGTGCTTTCCTCAGCGCTAAACCCTAAACCCTAAACCCTAGACCCTAAACCCTAAACCCTAAACCCTATACCCTAAACCCTAAACCCTAAACCCTAAACCCTAAAGCCTAAACCCAAAACCCAAAACCCTAAACCCTAAACCCTAAACCCTAAACCCAAAACCCAAAACCCAAAAGATCCCGCAGCAGCCTGAGCTTGTTCAATTCCCTATCCTTTTTAAGTTCCATAAGGCATATCAACTGCACGAAACCCCTACGAAACCCACGAAGCCCTACGAACCCTGAACCCTCTACAGTCCGAAACGGACCTTGCGGGTTCAGAGTTCGGGTT